TTTTCAAATATTATTTTATGTTGATTTATTTTATTTTATTTTTTCTAATTAATTTGCAATTTTTTACCAGAGAGATGTGCCCCAAACCATGACCTTGATTTCAACGTGCTCTTCATTTAAATTTCTATTAGTTCATATGATAATTAAAAATTCATTTTCGATTCCGAAAGTTGAAGTTTAAAAATTTTGACTTTTAAAAGTAAAACCACCAACTAACAACCTATTACTATTTTAATACCCTTTTATCTAATAATTTTGAATGGAAAAAAAGTATAAAGTGCTTATTAATAAGGAACAAAATGATTCGCATTATACAATAGTTATATCATTAAGGAACAAAAAAAAAGTAAAAAGTTTTATAGTCAGATGACAAGACTTTAGTCATCTGGGTAGTTACCCAGAAGTTTCTGACTCATTAAACTTATAGGATTATTCAATGCTGGCCCGGACACTTCGGTTATAAAAAAAAAATTATTTGTGGTTCAATTTTGATTTTGAAGTTTATAAAATTGACGATCAAACGTTCACCTTTAATCCGTATTTAAAAAATTTAGGATGTCCACAAGAAAGATGATTGACTATGAATTAACCACCTTTAGGTAGTTTGCTTGTAACTATTGGGTATATTATTCAAGAGGTCCTGAGTTCGCATCCTCGTGACTAATAATAAGAGATAGCCACTAGAGGTTTACCTGATCATTAATTTCAGGGTTCTAAATGACTAATTGATGTGTGTTCAAGCTGATCTGAACACTCTTGGATACCAAAAAAAAAAAAAAAAAGATTGACTATGAATTATTGCAACATTTTATGCTTTAATCCTCAAGATTCTTCAGGTGGGTGACATTTTGGATTGACCATTTCCCTTTTTTCTTCTTATATTATAGTTAAATTAAGATCAATAACAGCAGGCTAACATTGAACATATCAGAAAATCCAATGAAAACATAAACCCCAGCTGGCTTAAATATCAATTCTTTTGACCCATTTTAGCTTTATTAATTTAATACTAGTTTTAGAATGAATTTTTTGAGTTTTTTACATATTGCAATCGATTGGATTGGATCTTATAATGGGTGTTTTAAAACTGGAAAATGTGAAAGAAAAATAAAACACTGTAGAAGATATTATCAATGGAGGGCAAAGCCAGAAAGATATTGTTATGGCTTCCAGCTTATCAGGATGTGACACAAAATGTTTTTAGTTCAACCACGCACTGATAAAACTATAAAAGAGTGAATTAAAAGAAAGGAATAATTATAGACAACTCCAGAAACAAGAATCGCCAGTGGCTGTGGAGAAGGAAAGTAAATTTACAGAGAGACGAAATCTACTTTGTTTCGTTTCATAAATATAAAGGCTAAAACGAAGCGTTGTGTTGTGCTGTAGGCTGTAGCGGTGGGTCATTCATTTCGGCTTGATCTTCAGTTTACGTTTTATTCTTATTATTATAATAATGAACCGATTAGCCGTTTAGGGTAGCCTTGGTTGTCGGCAAGTGGACACGAGGTATTTCCCAACGGCTACATTTCGGGAGGGAGGGGATTTTATTGCACGAGCGGGTGGGGGGCGTGGGAAACACAGTGGGATTTGGCGGATAAGGTGGGGTGTTTTGGGAGAAAGTGATTGATGTGCGTGGAAAAGAGAGCGCGTGTGTCTCTGAGTGTGACGTGGTGTGTAGTGCCGCGTGGCTGCAGCGTCGTCTGCGTGGGTGTGGTGGGCTATAAAGACAGCTCGGACCCAGTTCGGATTTGGACCGACCCTCAGACTTTATGGGTAAAAGTACAGATGGTATAACCAGGGATTGACAAATGTAGAAAATTGCATTAAGAAAAAGATTTATGCAATTTATTATATCTTTAATGAAAAAAATTGACATATAACAGTCGATTTGTAGTATAATATATTTCGACCATTTTTATTTTTATTATTTTTTATTAACGGAAAATAAATTAAATCATGTGATTTTATGACTAATCAAAATCTCAACATCTTGAAAATTAAAATAGGTAAAGATAGTTATATAGTACATAATTTCTTCTAAGATTTTTTTATTACTTGTTCGATTTTTGTGATTATGCAAGCATGCTTGTTGCATGTATTTGAGATTTACTTTTTATGATATTTTAATTAATGATAAATTTATGGGATTTGTCTTAAAGTCAACAAATAAAAACAAATGTTCTAAAAAATATATATAAAATTTGTTAAAATCTATAGTTTATATATATAGTATAAAAGTGGATGGAGCGGAGAAATTTATATTGAGTGGCCAAATTGTAAAATTTTATGAATGAGGGAATTAAAGAAAAAATTAGGAAGTCATATTTACAGGGGTTGAAGTGTTAAAGTTAAAATGTCAAAGGGCCAAAATAAGAAAAATTGAACTTTCAAAGATTAGATTAACGCTTTTCTATATAAATTCTAAAGTTTTTTGGCAACTCAAAGTAGCTCCACCCCCAATATTTTTAGTATGATACTATGATAACATAAATTCAAGATTAATAATATATGAATATAATTATACCATATAAAGAGACATGATATTAAGCGGTCGATATAACTCATCTACGTCCACCAATACCTAGAACGAAAACAATCTTAATTTCTAAGGCACTTTACTCATGATATTTAATAACTCTTATATCAAATACATTGGCTACATTTATTTCCCTATTTTCAAAATATTTTATTTCTATAATGTGTTCTCACATTTTTTAATTGGTAGTATATATGATATTCTATTTTTAATATGATTCATATTTCAATTCCTAATAGAACTCTCATAATTCTATTTATATTTACAATTATATTTTTTTATTAAATAATTTTACCTAGGAACAAATAGGAAAGCAAGTTACAATATCTCAATATCAGTTAACCAATTTTTTATATCAGTTTTGAGTATTTTTGAATCAATTAACCAAATTTCAACTTGGTGATTTTTAGTGTTCATAGAAGTTTAGTTAAAATAGTTATTCTTAATAACTCAAAAGAAGTATGATGAAAGCCATATAAATCACGTGGAGATAAGTGTAGAATCTGTGGGTGGGATTGGAATCATGGTTTTAAAACTCGGCTCGACCCAATCGATTCAACCGGTTGAACCGGGAACTAGTGATCGAGCTGGATCAGTTCGATTAAGAAACCAGAATTTTCAAATGACTCAGTTTAAACCGTAATTAGATCATTTTTTTTTTTTACGAACCGTCGGTCTAACCGGTTTGATCGTTTTTTTATTATTTTATTCTTAATAACTAAAAAAAAGTATGATGAAAGCCATATAAATGGCGTGGAGATAAGTGTAGAATCCGTAGGTGGGGTTGGAATTGGATACAACAACAAAATGATGATATCAGAACCCCCCAAACCTAACCCATGAACAACTAAACCACTACCCTACCAAATTACCTTTATTTATTTTCACATATTATTTTATGTTGAATTATTTTTTATTTTTTTTTCTAATTAATTTGCAATTTTTGACCAGAGAGATGTGCCCCAAACCATGACCTTGATTTCAACGTGCTCTCCATTTAAATTTCTATTAGTTTATATGATAATTAAAATCCTTGTGCAAGCTTTGTGTCCAAAGCCAGAGTTTTAATAATGTTAACTGGAATTTCAAGGTTTTCGGTGTCTTTAATGTCACCCTCTTTGATTTTAGATTTTATTAATTAGATTCAATTGTGACATTCTGAAATGGAGACCCCTTTTTCAATTCATTTTCAATTCCCAAAGTTAAAAGTTTAAAAATTTGGACTTTTAAAAGTAAAACCACCAACCAACTACCTATTACTACTTTTATCTAATAATTTTGAATGGAATTAGAAGGAGAAAAAGGTATAAAGTGCTTATTAATACTAAAAAAGTATAAAATACCACTAGCTTTATAGTGAGATGGCAAGACTTTAGGGTGCGTTTAGTTTATTATTTCTAGGGAAAACGACTTACACTTACCCAAAGTTTGTTGTAAAGACAAAGTGGTACCCAAAAGGTTTGGAAATGACAAACACCCACTTTCCGTCATGTTCTGTTAGGAATTTCTATCTGCTAAAAGACAAAAATGGTGAAAAGACTAGAATACCCACCGATCTCCATTCCCAACGTGCGCCGGCAAGGGCTAGTGCCACTGTTTATCACTGAACTTGGTAGAAAAATATTAAATCCGATCAAAAAATCGATCGATGACGCAAGAGGGTTGTGCAAACAGGTTTGGGATGAGATGGATACGGAGAAAAAGATTTAAAATTTAAAAATACCTTGCGGCCGTGATCTGGCCGTCAATCTGACCTTTTCCAGCCAGATTTGTGGTGGATCTGGCCGGAAAAGGCCAGATCAACACATGTTCGGCTAGATTCGACCGGTCTGCATCATAACGCCAGATTCCGACGGTGAGAGTGTTTTTGTCATTTTACAAAATCTTTATATATTGGAGTGTTTAGTTAAATTAGCAAACCTAGGGGGTTTTTTAGTAAATTTTTAAATTTTACCTCAAAATAATCACCCTATTCCACTATCTAATACTATCTTCAAAATCCTATCCAAAATAATAAATCAAACGCAACCTTAGCTATCGTTCCTGACTCATTGAGCTTATAGAGTTATTCAAAGTTAGTCCGGACATCTCGGTTATATATATATATATATATATATATATATATGATTTATGGTTCAATTTTGATTTTAAGGTTTATAAAGTTTGACGATCAAACGCTCACCTTTAGTCCGTACTTAAAAAAATTTAGGATTGCAACATTTTACGCTTTAATCCTCAAGATTCTTCAGGTGGGTGACATTTTGGTACGACCATTTCCCTTTTTTCTTCTTATATTATAGTTGATTAAGATCAATAACAGCAGGCTAACATTGAGCATATCAGAAAATCCAATGAAAACATAAACCCCAGCTGGCTTAAATATCAATTCTTTTGACCCATTTCAGCTTTATTAATTTAATACTAGTTTTAGAATGAATTTTTTGAGTTTTTTACATATTGCAATCGATTGGATTGGATCTTATAATGGGTGTTTTAAAACTGGAAAATGTGAAAGAAAAATAAAACACTGTAGAAGATATTATCAATGGAGGGCAAAGCAAGGAAGATATTGTTATGGCTTCCAGCTTATCAGGATGTGACACAAAATGTTTTTAGTTCAACCGCCATTCCAGTTTCTTCCTCAATAATAATATTTAATCAGAAGGTGGAGTAGACTTGTGATTTGGAAGTTTACTGTTCATCAATGGAAACAGCCAAAAAAAATTTGGACTTTCTGCAATTGTTTGTATGTAGAAGAAGCTTTCTTTACTTGGCTTGTATTCTACTTGGTTTCTTTAGGTGTCTGCTGAATTCAACAAAACACAAAAGATGAACCAGAAATTAAGTAAAGGTCTTTCCTGATATTGCCGCCCATCAATTCAGATAAAAGAAATAAAGAATAATAAGAACAGTATATAATTGATAGATACCTAATCCAACTACCTGAATAGAAGTAGTTACTTCTGTTAAATCAGCTGCCCAATTTGTTCATGCTGTAGCTGCAACAATGGCTTGAAGTTTTTGTTTCTTTTATTTTCTCCTGATTTCTGTGTTGACATTATGGGGTCATGAATTTCCCATGAAGAGACTCCATCTACGTGATATGTTAAAACTCAAGTCCAAGAGAGAACCGAACGTAAACGATTGGCTTGATAGGTGGGAGAGCCCCTAAGCTTAAGTATCACACTTGGTGAATGTGAGATCCTAGCATTGCATTCTCTTCAAAAGTCGACGTCTATAACGACTTTCACTCTATCATCATCGACCTGACAAAAGCCCTTTCCCCTTTTGGGTGGCTTCATTCACCTATCATTTATTCGATGCAACATCACCTCCGATGGAGAGCACATTATACCTTAATCTACCCTATCTGTAACCGTTTTCGCAACTTAACTCTCAACAAGAATACTAATGTTAAAACTCAAGTTCAAGAGAAAGTCCAACCTAAAAGACCAATATGATAAGTGGGAGAGCCCTTAAACTTAAGTACCTTACTTGATGGGTGTGAGATCTGATGTAGGATTCTAACATGACTTCGGTGCTTACCCGGCCAACACATATCCGGCAACTGTTAAATGTGGGCTTTGCGCTGTCAATGTCATTGTCTCATTGATGGAATATGAAAATAAAGTTGCATCCTGGGTAAGAGCTTTAAGCTCTTAGCCTGCTGATAAACGCTAAATCCTAATATTACAATATATTTTCCTACTGTCAGAGGTCTATAGAGAGAATTTTCTGTGTTTCCATACACTAAATTCATCTTCATTGGAAAAGAATTACAATGAAAAATTGAACATCAAAATTATCATGTAACAAATTGATTAGAATTTTCATCGTGTGGGCACTTAAACAAGGCACCACTGCCAAGCACTGCAGCTCAAACTGCTACTTTCCTGACATTAGATTGAGCAGAGCTTTATTTCCATGGAATCCGCTGACATTCCATTCCTTTGTTTCAGATGAAAGTGTTGTAAGAGCAACCACAATTTCCCTCATGCTTGGCCTCACTTGAGGATCTTCTTTTGTACAAGCCCTGCCAAGCTCAGCCATCTGTGACCAAAACATCAACTCATCTCATTAATAATACACCATTACTCCAAACTCCATGACTCTTGAGATCAGATATTACCTTGAGGACAGAATCAAAAGGGTAATTATCACCAAGCCTCGGGTCGACTAGTTTCTCAAGATCTTCTCTTGGATCAGGCTGACTCAGAACATCTTCAAACTGAAACAAATTAACCAAGAGGCATGTAAAAACTTAGGTTCTGTAGGAAATAATTTCACAGATATGTATACTGTAGTAATGAAGGGCTAGAAAAAGAACCAATGCAACAAGTCCTGTAGCTTCAGTAATGCCTTCAGTTCTCACAACAGCTCCCTTGGCAGAGATAATTTCATAGAGAACAACTCCAAAAGCATACACATCTACCTTGGGAGAAACCTCGCCGAATCGCATATACCTGTATCACAATGCCTCATTGAGTCCAGCTATAAAATGAAAGTGCCAAGAGGGATCAGCATCATTGTTTTGCAAATAAAATATGAAGAAAGATCTCACTCAGGAGGCATGTATCCAAATGTACCCATGGGGTGTTCCGTGTGTGATAACTCGCTTTCGAAATCAATCAGTTTGGTTAACCCAAAATCAGCTACCTTTAACCAAGAGTAACTAAACTTAGTAATAAAAATGAATTGCAGAGAATATTATTAGTATAGGCTTGGACAGTTTCAACCTTTGCCCGGAAGTTTTTGTCTATTAATATGTTTGCTGATTTGATATCGCGATGAATGTAGACAGGAACAGTATGTTCATGGATATATTCAAGTCCAGTAGCTGAATCAAAGGCAATTTGCATTCTAGTTGACCACGGCAATGGCTCCTTCTCTGATCCTTGTAAATGCTGACTTAGATTGCCATTCTCAATGAACTCATAGACCAAAAACAAGGAGCCCTCAGCACAATATCCTAATAGGCGCACCTGCATGATAAACACAGTAAGAAAGAGGGTTCATGTATCATGTTATATGATCGTCTTGGTGGATCAAGAACTTGAAATTTGTTTACATAATCAGAAGATGGGGAATGTAAACAACAATTTGGTCAAATAATGATTCTTCAGTAGAAACATCTCTAGATGATTGTCAGCAGTATCCAAATATTTAAGCCATTTTTATCCTAAAGGTAAAGAGTAATCCAGATAAGGACGATGGCAAAGAGTTAAAAGACAGATGTTGCAAGCCTATTGACAACCAAATATTCTCAGTTTTTAGTGTGATTGAGGCATCAAAATTTCAAGCAAGTATATACTTTTGATTCAACTGATTTAGGCCAGTCCTCCTTTAAACAGCCATCTATTGACATATGTTTCCAGAACTACTGAGTTCAATCTACAACATTTTGAACTAGTTTGAGAATTTTATCAAAACGTGCCTGCAGAAGTATTCAAGAGTAATGAAATCTACATTAGGGAAAGCACAATACCAGGTTCAAGTGATGAACATTTGTCAAAATCTTCAGTTCAGCATAAAATTCTTTTGATGCTTGCATTTGCATCTTCTTGATTGCAGCTTTCTGAATGAAAATAGAAGCAGAGAGTCAGCCAATTTCATACGGCGAGGTTGAGTTTGGTGGAGAAATTTCAAAGAGCTTCAACAGCAAATGATTTCAGAATAGCCCTCATATATTAGACTTAAAATCAATACGATGTCAGATGAATTAAACAGTCCCTAATGGAGGTTTAACAGAAGGACTACGAACCTCGCCTCTCAGTTCTGCATAGTAAACAGCACCAAAGCCGCCTTGTCCAATCTTGTTAGCCATGCTGAAGTCATTAGTAGCCCTGGCAAGCTCTTCATAAGAGAACTCCACTGATTTGTCCACAGTAATGCTTGTGAGCCCAGAAGAAGCAATAAGTCCAGTTGTTTCTGAAGTTTTTCGCGAAGTACTTTTGGAACCTAAATCTACAAGATTGGCAACAACTAATCACTGAGTAAAAATCCCCAAGTATTTGGTTAGAAAATGTGGTCAGTTATCAATAAACTTGTGATGGTTGAGTTGCATAGCAACAAAAAATAGACAAACAAAAGTCTCATCCTAAAATACAATTCCCTCTCAATTAATAGATTTCTCTACTTCTGCCTTGAATAAGGGAATTCATTCAAACCTAAAGAATTACCATGCTCTGCTGTTGCTCCTGGGAGAAATGACACTTCCCTGCTCTTTTTCCTCCTATAAAGCCCAGCATATAGACAAAATGCCAGAAATAGAGCCCCAGCAACTCCTGCAGATATGCCAGCTATAACTCCTCTAGAAATTCCTGCTCAGAAAAGCCCAGATACCATCAGCCCGTGACAATATCTATGTCATAATTGACATTTTCAATCTTCACCTCATACACATAAATGCAATGAAGCAATACTCAAGACTCTTACCACCTGTGCTGCAAAAATGAGAAACCATACAGTACAAAATCATTGTCAGTATATCTTCAAACCGGCATTCTAAAAAATTGGATTGCATATATCAAGATGGCATGACTTACCTTATCTTTAATCTCGGAAAGTTTCCAGTTTGATCTTGCAAAATTGTCAAGTAAAAGCGTTGGTGAGAGTGATCATCATATGCAATACCAATTATCAGTATGGGTTTCTTAAATTGGACTGAATTATAAACACAACTAAACCAAACAGAAATTAATTACCTTTTCCAGGAATGAAAACCAAACCACTTCCACTGCTAAAATTCGAATGGGGATTGTACCTCTGCAACAACTCTGGAGAAACGCCAGACGCATTAGCAATGCTAGTCAAATTCTCACCAGGGCTAAGAGGGTAAGTCACAAACAACCCATACTCCTTCGAAACTTTCTTGTCTCCACAAGAACAATTCACAATAACGTTTATCGTCGTATCAACATCCGGGATATTATTCGGATTGAAATTATTAGAATTGCTCAGCCACTCAACTGTGGTGAGATTTGCATAGTATGTCCCACCAATCTTTCCGTAACTGTCACCAGTCCTTATATGGTATGGAAAACTGTGACCAAGAAATTGTTTCTCTATGCAGTTGCAGTTGAAGGGAACATTGATTCTTGAACCAAAATGGACTTTGTCTTTGTCAGGCACATCGAGATTGAAGCTTAGGATGTTCTCTATAGAAGTATCAAACATATCTGCTATGAACGTTAAATTTGTTCCATCCCATATGTAGTATGAAGCTAAAGCAAGATCACATCCTTTGCTACACTTCGATTCAACCCCACTTGCCCACAAGAAGATCAGCAGCATCAAAAATGAAAATTTTGATTCAAGTTCTGTCATTTTTTTATTTTTATTTTTGCTTGAACTGATTTTAATGGATTATAATATAGCACTTCTTAATCTTGAGTCGTGTAGACTCCAAACTCTTTGACCTTTTGAATGTGAAAATAGCGTGTTGAAAAGTTTTGTGGAAGTTAGGCATGAACAAGACTTGCTTATTGAAAGCATCTTGACTTTGGACTTGTAGAGGGGTATTTGAATTGATTATCAATTGATAATCCTTTTTATATTACTTCATGACTAAGATAGCACTAATACTACTTCTGTTGCAATAAAGATGAGTGGGCTTTACCTCATTTGCGAGTCGAACAGCAGCCTTCATATAATATCTCATCATCATAAAACGGTGGCATTTGAGAACTGATTGACCAGATTTCACTGTTTTTTCAGACAAGATAGATAAGAATATTGAAGCTGAATTTGTTCCACGTGTCAAGTCAGTGGTTGTCATGATGTATATAATTAGTTTCACTTCCTTCTCCTTGAATTAGCTTTAAATTCTATCCAAGCTACTTTATTATGTGATATAGGGATGGGTTTAGGGGTTGGGTTGGGGCCTTGGCCCAAAAACCCAAGAGGATTCTTCGATCTTGGCCCATAACCGGTTTAGAGAATCCTCAAATAAAGCTTGTTTCTATTGAACCAATCGTTACGGTCACAAAATTAAACCTAAATATCATAGTTAGCGGTAAGCAGAGTCGAATCCACAGAGAGTAAGACTAACAACCTAATGTATATTGAGTAGCGGAAATGAAATTGGTAATTTGATTAATTAAACGAAACAAACTAAATGCAAATAATAAAAGAGTGAAATTAAAACTAATAAATACTTTATAATAAAAATATTGCCGTTACGGTTTTGGTTCGACACGAGACCGACTCACACAATTCTTCTCCACCCTCTACAATCCCCTAAACTTACAAGGCAAGGTAAATCAATGAAATGGCCTCCCAGCACTCTAGCTATAATCTATCATGTCTCACCCGATCACTCAAGTTCGATTTGTTAAAGACTATCATTGAATGCCGATAAACGCTACACAACAATACCACTAGTTGGTACGCGATTAACAAATACAATTTATCAACACGTATGTTCCAATCAACTAACTTCATAATAAACGTAACAACAGTAGAAATGAAATTAAATCTGAACACAACTCAATTACAATCGATGCGAAGAAATGAAAAACAATATTCATCATTCAATTATTTCAAACCAATGTTTATCATTCAACAAGTTCTATGAAATCATTAAATCACAATGGACAACAATATTCATTACAAATTATGCTCAAATCATATTAAAGTATCGAAATCAAACATGAAACGAAAACAATTATAATTCGAAACACAATACTAGCTAATGTTCTACAATCGGGCTCATCCAACTAGTCGAGAGCTGATGAGCCGTGGAGTCAATCTCGATCTCGTCTACGTCGTAACAGACAATCGGGAACTTAGCCGCTCATGGTGGTGATAACGGAGGCTGAAACGATGGAAATGAAGCTGATCATGGTGGAGAGGAGGTAACCGACAACGATATAATGCGAAGAAGGGGAGAAAACAACCAATGGACAGCCCGAAATACGAACAGTCGCACTCGCCGAAAAACGTTAATTTTTCGACGGGTCTTCCAGAAAATGGTGGCAGAAATGGGATCCGAAGGTACTGATTGGAAAGCTTTGGTGATGGGGAGTTCAGATCAGGTCTTGGGGAGGTGAAAGGTCACCGGAAATGATCAAGATCTCGACTGGAAGATGAAGAGGCGCGGCGGCTAGATGCCGAATTCCAACGGTTTTCGCGGCAGCTGAAGCTTGGAATGGGTAGATCCAACCGTGGGGAAGGAAGATCAAGTGCTGGGGAGACCAACCGTCACCGAAAAATGGTGAAATCTCGGCTAGAATGTGAAAAGTAGTGGCAGGAAGATGAAACGTAGCGGCGACAATGATGGTTCTCACGGTGGTGATCCGGAACGATGAAGATCTGTGCACGAGGAAGACGAACCGTCGCCGAAGGTCACCGGAGAGGAAGACAAAGAGTCGCCGAAAAATGGATGAACAGCGCCTCCCTTGAAACGCGACCTTTCATTTTCTTTTATAGACAAACTACCAAAATATCACTTTGGTCCCTGTATAATTGAAAAATGACAAAATCAACCCTTATAAATATGGCAGTTTACCCCCTAAACAGCATAAATGAGACAAAATCACCCCTAATCCATAAACCACAACCTAATATCAACTCATATTCTTTCCAAAATCATTCCAAACATGTTAAATTCATAAGAAAAATATTAGAAAGCGATTTCCATGAATAAATTCTTTAATTGTCTCAATATACTTCAATTTAATCACACATGGGGTATTTTTATCACAAAAATAGAGTCACTTTTATGACTCTAACAGTTTCCCAACTAGGGAATGGGGAATTCGAAGATTCCCCGAATTTCCCGTTTGGGGATTTTGTGTCCTTGTTACCATTTTCTCTAAATTATAATATACTATCCAAAAAGAAATTAAATCTATAATGATTTATTGATTTATTATAATTAAATCAAAACACCAAATGATATATTACACATATATATTATGTAGTAATATATGATTATAGATAATAGCATATTTTGTACAACGTATAACATATGTATGTTATATACATTATACTTATATACTATATATAATGTATAATGTCAAATGTATAACTTTTGTTTCATAGTATTAAAATATTATATATATTACAAATATTTATAATGATTTATTATATTTAATCTAGTTTTATTTATTACCTATTTGTATATGGTTTCATAAAATATTTATACAATTATAATTTGTTATTGTATAATATATGATTAATTTTCAAATATTAAAATTAATATAGGTATATATAATATATATGATTGACTTTTTAATATATGCAAGACCTATCCCGGTTCCGACTCGTCCCCAAATTTCGAGACTAATTTTGGGTTCGATCCCAACCCAAATCCTGAATTATTCGGGGAAACTCTATTCCGTTCTGGGCGGGTCCCCACGGGGTCGAGTTTTATGCCCATCCCTAATGTGAGATGATGATGGGTTTGGACCCGACTTTGTCCCACATCATGCGAGAGAGGGTTTTGTCCCACATCGCCAAGTTAATGGCCTACTATGATATATATAAGTGGTTGGACACCCTCCTTTTTTAAGTTAGATTTTGAGCTTGGCTTCTACCCAAGCTATTTATCAAAGAAAAACATTGAAAAAAGCCAACTTATTATTTTTAATAATAATGAGAAATCACTTGCAGTTGTGCTTGTTTCTTTCTTCTTTTTTTATTTTTTATTTCCTCAATAATTTATGCAATTTCTTAGTGGGAAGAATGAAGAATGTGCTCGGTCTTAGGGGGAAGAACGTGACAAATTAATTGAACTAACATACAAAGAAGAATCATTCTAGAGCGGTTAATTACAGTTATTCACATTTGAAAGACAAATCCTGAGCAAGAAACTCAGGATTTGGTCTTTGTGGTGGCACTTGTTGAGACTACTGACTGGCAATGCTGCTCAATTTGCTACCTTCCTGACATTAGATTAACCAGATCTTGATTTTCATAGAATGAGCCAACATCCCAATCTTCAGTTGTAGATGAAAGTGTCATAAGCGCGACCACAATAGCCCTCATGCTTGGCCTTAGTTGAGGATTTTCTTTTGTGCAAGCTTTAGCAAGCTGAGCTATCTGTGACCAAACAACATCCAGCTAATTAGTGTTGAGAGTATTCGGCCATAGCCCATATCAACTCCAGGGATCGGATGTTACCTTATAGACCGAGTCCATTGGGTAGTTATCACCAAGCCTGTGATCAACAAGTTTCCGAAGACCTTCTCTTGGATCAGGCTGACGGAGAGCATCATCAAACTGAAACAAAACCAACATGTTCAAGTTAATTCTGGTCCTCAGGAGGAAATAACTTAACAGAAATATATTGTGAGTAGAAAAGAGCTAAGAGTAACAACCAAAGCTGCAAGTCCTGTAGATTCAGAAACGCTTTCATTAGTCTTCACAACAGCTTCCTTTGCAGATATAAGTTCATAAAGGACGACTCCGAAAGCATACACATCTATCTTGGGTGAAACCTCACCATATTGTGCATACCTGCATCATTGATGCTGCACTCAGTCTAACTGTTTTTGTGGAATAAAATTTAGCAGAGGATAGGATAGGATATGTATGGAAAAAGGATCTTACTCTGGAGGCATGTATCCGAATGTGCCCACAAGACGTGTTTGCACTGAAGCACTTCCAAATTCAGTAAGTTTAGTTAATCCAAAATCAGCAACCTGTAACCAAAATGAATTAAACTGAAGTAATACTAAAAACTTTGGAGATTATTACTACATTAGTATGGGAAAATTTTCAACCTTTGCACGGAAGTTTTTGTCTATTAAAATGTTTGCTGATTTGATATCCCGATGGATGTAAACAGGAACAGTATGTTCATGGATATATTCAAGTCCTCTAGCTGAATCCAACGCAATTTGCATCCTGCTTGACCATGGCAATGGGTCCTTTCCTGAAATGGAGAATACAATATGTATACATTTACCATAAGATTTTAGTGATAGCAAAATATAGGATATCTTATGTGTATATGAATAATCCTTTCTCACCTTGGCCACGCAAATGTTGACTTAGATTGCCATTCTCAATGAACTCGTAGACCAAAAACAGAGAACCCTCAACACAGTATCCTATTAAGCGCACCTGCATGATTTATATTGCATAGAAGAATATTTAGAACACGGTAAGATTGAGGGTTCACGTATGCAATTAAAGGATCACCATCCAGTGGAATTACAACCCAAAAGTTATCCAATCTATGAGTGGCGCATTCAGAGATTAGATTACCATCCAACTTTCTTCTTTCAAAGTTATAAGCCATTTTTCTACTAAAAATGGAAAAGGTATCCTGAGAAGCATAATGGTAAAGTGGTAATGAGACAAAAGTTTCTGGCCTGAAACCAGGTTTATATGGTGATTGAGGCATCTAAATGTCGTCAACGAGGATCTTATCATAATCTGACTGGTTGAACAAAGATTTCAAGTAAAATGAAGTGTTAATAGGGAAAGCAAAATACCAGGTTCAAGTGATGAACATGTGTTAAGACCTTCAGTTCGGCAAGAAATTCCTTTGATGCTTGCATATCCATCTTCTTGATTGCAGCTTTCTGAATGATTGTAAGAGCAAAAGGTCAGGTAATTTCATACACCAGGTTTGAGTTTTGGTGGAGAAAAAAAAAGTGAGATAACTACTAATGATGCTTGAATAATTCTCATATACTATGAATTAAGATCAACATTATGAGAACTCAATCAAATCAGGAAGGTGACTGAGTTAAATCTTTGCTGATAAAAGTTTAACAGTTGAACTACGAACCTCGCCTCTTAGTTCTGCATAGTAAACAGCTCCAAAGCCACCTTGTCCAATCTTATTAGCCAAGATAAAGTCATCTGTAGCCTTAGCAAGCTCTTCATATGAGAACTCTACTGATTTGTCCACAGTAATACCTGTAAGTCCAGGAGCAGTAACAAGAGCAGTTGATTCTAAAGTTTTCTCCAAAGCATTCGCTGAACCTAAATCCACAGGAAAGGCAAATATTAATCACAAGAAAGAAAGGATTGACAAACAAAAAGCACATCCTCTCAACTAACTTGCATCGCTTAAAACTACTCAAATGTTGATGACTCTATCCTCAACAACATTCTATTTTTCAAGTTACCCTCTCTTAAAGGAAATCTTACAAACAGATAACCGCCAAGAATTACCAGATCCGTGTTGAACATATTGGTTTTCTGTTCCTTCTGGGAGAAATGATGCCTCTCCCACCTTTTTTCTTTTATAAATTCCAGCATATACACAAAATGCTAAAACTAGAGCCCCAGCAACTCCTCCAACAGATATCCCGGCAATAACTCCGCTTGATATTCCTGCTTAGAAATGCCATGAAAAAGTAAGCTCATGTTTGACCACATACACAGAAAATTGAGATAAGAAGCAGTGACACATAGTCAAAGAAGCCTACCACCCGGGCTGCAAAAAAGACAGAAAACATACAATTAAATTTAACTATTAGACATCTTGAAACAAGTATATAAAGAACAAATAAAAAAATTGTAACGTAAGTTGTATCAAATTCTCCTTAAGAAACCTTATATTATTTAGTGGCGGATAGACTCCATTCTGATCTGCAAATTCAAAGAGTAAATAATCAGCTCTAAATTACAACTCCAGAAGGCAAGCATGAAGCATCTCTAAATGACTCGACAAAGAATGTCAAATGAAGACAATGAAAGCGCTTTTGCATTGTAGACATAACCAAAAGAAAACATATTGCAAACAGAGATAAATGGGTAGCTAAAACTCTAATATTTCCTCTCTCCTTGTAATTTCAAAGCAATATAAAGTAACCTTACCTTTTCCAGGAAGAAAAACCAAACCACTTCCTTTGCTAAAATCCGAATTAGGATTATAGCGCTGCAACAAATCTGGAGCAAGGCCAGTATCATTTGCAATGCTGCTCAAATTCTCACCAGGGCTAAGAGGGTATGTCACAAACAACCCATACTCCTTTGAAACTTTCTTATCTCCACAAGAACAATTAACAATAACATTTATCGACCCATCTTCTGGTCTATTAAACTCTTCATATAAATTGGTATTCTTAAGCCACTCAACCGTAACAAGATTCGAATAGTTATTCTGAACGGACGTGTATGTATCACCAGACTTCACTTGGTATGAAAAATTGTGACCAGGATATTGTCCCTCAATGCAGTTGCAACTAAAGGGAACATTGATTCTCGTACCATTTTCTATAAAGTCTTTGTTAGCTATTGTATTGAACCTTTGAAGTTCGTCAACGGAGGTTCCAAAGAGGTTCGAAATGAATGTCAAATCTTCTCCCCACACAACATATCAAGCTAAAGCAAGATCACAATCTTGGCTACACTTAGATTCTACTGTAACTGCCCACGAGAAAAATAGTATAAAAGATGCTAGTTTTAGTTGAAGTTCTCTCATTTTTTTGTCTGCTCGGATTCTAGTGGTGTAAGTGAACTTGAAGCCGAGAATGTTTAAATATTAGCAGTTGTTGAAGACGGGTTCGAAGCTGAAAAAGTAAAGCAGAGAGATACGTGTTTGTGTTAGTCAACTTGAGCCATCGGAGTGACTTAGGAATACATCTACACCCAACTTTTTGGACAGTTGAATCTTCTTCTTCCTCTTCGAGTCGAAACGTTCATCCATTACCGCCAAGCGCTAAAACCGAACTTTTATCGTTGGGTTATGTGGACTTCAAGATATATATTGAGCTGAACTTCTGTTCCAAGTTGGGCCTCTGAAAGCCGGAACTTTTAATTGGTTTCGTTGTATTTTGGTTAGCATATGTAGAGCCTTGCCTCGAATCATTTGGGCTGGTTGTGTCAATTACTTAGCAAACAACTCTACCACACGTCTTGAGTCTTAAAGAAACCGTCGATGCTCTGATACCAATTGTCATAACCTATATCCTAAAAACGTTTAACTTTTCATCCATTAATAAGGGTGAGTAGTTTAAGATACCTTGCATTTTTTTTAATGAACCATAACTGGACAGCTCCTAAGATTTGGAACAGGCATCGAAACCTAAAACATAGGTTTCGATTCCTGTTCTGGTTCCAGTTCTGATTCCAGGTACCAGAGTTAATCTCAATTACTCTCTTACTTTTTAAAAAATGACAAATATACCCCTCAAAAAATTGCAAATACACTCCCAATAGTTTACAAAAATTACAATTCAATCTCAATTCTTACTCAAGTACTCAAACCTCAGTTTCGATTCCAATTCCGGTTCCTATTCTCGGTTCCAGCACTATAGGAACGAGAACCAGACCCAAGAATTTTTTGTTCCAATTTTCTAGAACCAAAACCGACGGGTAGGTACCCGTCAATTCCAGTTCTACCCTTTACCCATGGTCACCCCTAGCCATTACGCATGTCGCCTATAAAATTAATCAATAAATTTATATTATTTTCACTCTTATCTCATTCTGTAGAAGAATAGTAAAGTTCATATAATAAGAGAAGAGTGTTGGCTCTACTGTTTGATTGTGCTAGGCAGTAACAATTAACAAATGAAGCTAGAAGATGTCTCTGAACATTATTTCATTGGTAGAATACAAATCTATCAGTGTCTCTAGCGCAAGAATTTGATGGTAACATATAAGAGGAATATTCCTGCCATAATATACAACAAAGGAACAATTGAGATGCCCCATGTAAGTACACCAAATCATATGCATTGATGTAAAACTGGGCAATATTTTAAGGAGAATGGGCCCGCATTTTGATAGAGATCAACGGTATAGAACTGAGGAAAGTGTTATGATTGATTAGGTGATTATTAATTATTATAAAGATCTTATTCGTTAATGATGATAATAATCATTGACAACTACCAACTAGTTGAAAGAAGCCAAAGAAAATATGAGTTTAATAAAATCATATTTGGTAATATCAGAAAAGAGACAAATTTATGTGAATCCGCAGTGATCTTTGCTTATTTGTTTCTTCCCCTGGCTAGCTTTATCAAGGCTTATTATAATGTACATCTAAATAGATGGGTAATATAATCTTAGTAAGGGTGAGCGATTCTAGGTACCTGCCGGAATTGCTAGGAACAGGAACCAGAACCAGCTGATTCTTAGCAAAAGGAATTGAAACCAGAACCGACCGGTTTTAGTTCTTCAGTTCCTGGAACTGGAACTGGAACCTGAAAGTTTTGGTTCTTTTCTCGGATATCCTGTAAAATTTAATTACCCCTATTAATTTAAAAAATGACAAAAACACCCTAAAAATTATAAGTACACACTTGATAGTTCACAAAATTCACATATTCACCCCTAGCTCCTAAACTAATTCCTAGCAGGGTATCCAAATGTAGGTTTCGATTTCAGTTCCAAATTTCCAGAACCAAAACCTACCCTATAAGAGTTAGTTACCATTCCTAACTAGAACCGATGGTCTGAGCACTCACCGGTTCTAGGTCTACCTTTTACCCATACTCACCCCTAAATCTTAGGGATCTTAGCAATACATTCTGAAACCTCGAGGGGAGATGGGAGATAATAACTCTTCATTCTACAGTCAAGTCTGTCCATAACTGTATTAAAGAATCCAGTTTAAGTACCGTGTTGACAAAGCCAGCTTAATGTCACGCACTTAACTTCTTTGCTAAGTTCGTGCGGCCTTAACCCTTCGGAAATGAGTTAAGCAGCCTAACGCTCACACAACTAACAAGCTCAAAGTATAAAGTTTAGAGAGAGAAGCTTAGAGAAAATATAAACTCTGTATTGAAAGGATTCAAGTTATGAAATGTACAAGGGAGGGGTGGCCTATTTATAGGCTAAACCTCCTCAAATAAATGTCTAGATACATTGAACACTTAGTCCTTAAGTTACTTAACTCATAAGTAAACACTAGGTGGCACCCCTAGGTGGCAAACTTAGGTGGATGGATAGATATCCTTTAAGTTTCTTTGCCACTAAGTTTACTTAACTCCGAAGTAACTTAGCCACTAAGCAACGTGCAACCCACTTGAGTCACCAAGCAAGCGGGTCGTGACACTCTCCGCACCTAATGTTGCGACGCCCTCGTCGCACTATCCTTATAATGCCGGATGGAGTCTTGGAATTGCCACAATGAGTTCTCGGTCTCCCAACTGGCCTCAGTATCGGGAAGTCCCTTCCATTTGATGAAGTACTCCCGGTAATTTGGCACTCTCGTCGGCGAACGACTCTGTCGGCAATATTTCTTCAACTTCCTTGTCAAAGGATGTTACGACAGCGGTTGGTGCTCGTTTAGAGACTCCTCGGGATGGCTCCTCCGGGTCTTCATGAAATGGCTTCAACAAACTTACATGAAAGACCGGATGTACTTCAATTTCGGAGGAAGTTGGAGTCGATACGAGACTTGCCGATGGTTGTATCACTTGAAAGGGCCCCCCATATTTGCGCACTAGGCCTTTGTGCACTCTCCTCAATGTCTTGAACTGTTGGGGCAGAAGCTTTACAAGGACAAGATCACCTTCTTGGAACTCAACATGCCTTCTTTTCTTGTCAGCCCATTCTTCATTCTCTTTGCTGCTTTGTGTAGGGGCACGAGCAAGTTCAGTTTGTTCGTGCCATGATTTGGCTAACCTGAAGGTGCAGGGCTCTTCCCATGTAGCGTGTGGCTAGGGAAAGAGGTGTGTTCGGTTGCCGTCCCATGATGTATCAAAAGGACTCTTGTTGGTTGCCTCGCTCCGTTGCAAGTTAAATGAGAATTGGGCTGTGTCCAGGAGCTTTGCCCAATCCCGCTGGCTAGCACTCACATAGTGCGCCAAATAAGCTCCAACAATGCATTTACACGCTCCGTTTGACCATCAGTTTGGGGATGAAAGCTGGTCGAAAAGTCTAGGTTTGAACTAGTATTGAATAACTCGTCCAAAATCTCCCGGTGAACCGAGGATCTCGATCACTGACTATGTTGTCGGAATGCCCCATAACTTGATGTGTTGCGGAAGAAAAGCTTGGCTGTTTCTTCTGCGGTGCAATCGGTGGATGCAGGGATGAAGGTGGCATACTTGCTAAATCTGTCCACATGACTATGATGCTCCCGGACCCTCAGACTTTGGCAAACATGTGATGAAGTCCATTGAGACACTCTCCCAGGTCTCTCGGGCACGGGTAATGGTTGCAGTAAGCCTGCCGGTTGTTGTTGCACTACCTTGTCTTGCTGGCAAACAAGGCACGTACGTACATATCCTCGATACTATCCTGCATCCCAGCCAAATATAGGCAGATTTTAAGAGAGCAAGGGTACGTCTCATACCGGGATGGCTGCCCACAAGGAGTCATGACATCCTTGGTTAATTCCTTCCTCAGATTATCCCATCTCGGGATGTAAAGGCGGTTGCCTTTGGTGTAGAGGAAGCCATCAGTTAACCAAAACCTCCGGGTTTTCCCTTCTTCAACAAGGCAATGATGTTTCGAGCCAATGGCTCATGTGGAGTCCTTGCTTGATTCTGTCGGCCAACGCACTTGTGACTTGATAATGCTTGCCAGCTCGGTCTTGCGGCTCAGTGCATCTGCCAACACATTGGTCTTGCCGGCTTGTACTCCAAAACATAATCAAACTCAGCAAGAAAGTCCTGCCACACGTGCCTGCTTCGGACTTAACTTTCTGGGTTGAAAATAGCTTGTTGCGACGTTATCTGTCAAAATAACAAACTTAGACCCCAGTAAGTAGTGCCGCCACACTCTAGACAATGGATGATGGCTGTCATCTCCTTCTTGCACGGTGTAACGCGCTCAGTCTCATTGAGCTTTCGACTCTATAAGCAATCGGATGCCCATTCTGCATGAGTACCCCTCCGATGGCAAAGTCCGATGCGTCAGTGTGCACTTCATACGGCTGAGTGTGGTCTGGCAAGGCAAGCACTGGTTCCGGTGATTGAGCTTTCAACTCTTCAAAGGCGGCTTGACACCTTTTAGCCAGTCCCACGGCTTGCTCTTCTTGAGTAAGTCTGTCAACGGGGCTGCCTTTGCTGAGTAGCCTTTGATAAATCGGCGGTAGTAGTAACTAACCCCAGGAAGGATCGTAAATCCGGCACCTTGGTGGGTGTTTCCCACTCTTGAATAGCCCGCACTTTTTCATCTTCCATCATAAGTTGCCCATCCCTGATCTTGTGACCAAGAACATTACTTCGGCTTGGCGAAAGAGCATTTCTCTTTCTTGTATACAGCTTGTTGTCCGCAGTACCTGGAACTTCCTTAGGTGGTGCACATGCTCCTCCCAGTTTGCTATATAATACTATGTCATCTAAGTAGACGACCACAAACGGTCGAGATATGGATGAAATATTATTCATTAAAGTACAAAAAGTAGCAGGTGCATTTGTTAGACCAAATGGCATAACTAAAAACTCGTAAGACCCATACCTTGTAACACAAGTGGGGTCTTGGCTCGTCGCCTTCAGCTATGCGCACTTGATAATAGCCCGACCACAAGTCCAGCTTGGTAAAGTAGCGGGCATGCCCCAGCTGGTCGAAAGATCAGCAATCAAAGGAATGAGATAGCTATTTTTCACTGATACTGTGAGTGCTCGGTAGTCTATGCACATCCGCAAAGAACCATCTTTCTTCCTTTGAAATAAGACCGGGGCTCCATGGGAGCTTTGGAGGGCTTGATGAACCCTGCATCCAGAAGTTCCCAATTGCTCCTTAGCTCGGCTAGTTCCGGTGGTGCCATTCGGTAAGGACCCTTAGCAGGTGGCTTGGCGCCCGGCTCAGCTCAATCTGATGATCTACCTCCCTTCAGGTGGTAGCTCTTTCGGCAGCTCATTCGGTGAGACAATCAACAAACTGAGTACTTGTGTTACTTCCCGGGGCATTGCTCTGGCGGGATTGGTTCCTCATCATCATACGCTTGAGGATGGCCAAGTAACTTTCCTCTTCTATTGACACCTTTCTTGAAATGCATGGCTGAAAGTACTGTGTCCCCGGTTTGGTAAGGGAGTAGGCAACACACAAGGTTGTCCGTCCATTATACACAGGTGTTGGTTGACGGCAAGGGAAATGCCTGACTTGTTCCATGAACTCTAAGCAAGCACAACTTGATAGTCATCCATCGGTGCAACCGAGAAATCTAAGTAGCGGACCAAGTCCCCCTTGTCGTCTTGACATGTCGAGCCACTCCCTGTATCGGTTGTGCCACTGAGTTGACTGCTTGATGGTGCCTCCACCTCCTGAAGCCTTGATGTCTAGCCGACTGCTTCGCTTCCTGAAATGAAATTATGCGAAGCTCCCGTATCTACCATGGCTTGGTGGCCTTCCCATTGATGGCCATATCAACTAGAGCAACCCTTTGGCTTGGGTTTTTGGTGCGGACTGAATCCCATTGAGTAATTGCATCGATCCCATATGTGCCACACTACTGCTTTCGGCGGCTTGCCTCTTGAGCTTGGCTATGAGGAAGTGAGAGCTTTCTTCTCCGGACAATCTTTCACCCAATGTGGCCGTTGCAAATGAAACAGCCGTTGCGGGGTTTGTTGGAGCCTTCCCAACGTTTGCCCTTGTCCTTGCCCTTGGATGAGGAGTTGTCTTGGCGGGTGTCTCGGTAACTCTCTTTAGATTGCCCTTATCTCTCGCACCTTTAACAAAGACCCTTCTTCTCTTTGGATTTGCCGGTGGGTTCTTTTTGGTGCTATAATCAATCAAACTCCAGCAACCGCTATGGCCGTGGCAAGATCTTGCACTCCCGACGCCTTAGCTCCGTTTTTACCCATGACTGCAACCCATCCATAAAGTTGAAGAGTGAATCTTTGTCGGACATCTCCGGGATCTCCAGTATCAAGTGGTGAAGTCCTTGATATAACATGGATCGTCCCTGTTTGCTTGATCCGTCGCAAGCGAGCTCTTGCCTCATCCTCGGCATTCTCCGGGTAAAACTGCCGTTTAAGCTCTCTTTTAAAATTATCAAAAGTAGAGATAGTGCAAATACCTTTTTCGAGTCCTTTCTCGTCTCCTCCACCACAACCTTGCGGTGTCTGTGAGATAGAGGACTGCAGTTTCAATCCTCGAGTTTCCTCCGTGACGCCTACGGCCCCAAAGTATTGTCTAGTCCCACAAGAAGTTATCAACCTCTTGTGCCTTGCGTGAGCCACAAAGCTTTTAGGCCTTGGTATGTCAATTCGTTGGCTTTCAACGACGCTACTGCCGGGTCTTGCACATGGCGCGCTTGCATCGCGCTAAATCAGCTTGCACCTCGTCTAAGGAACAAGGGTGCCGTTGACTTCGGTTTGAACACATGACGGGTTTTGGCAAGCTCCCCTTCGAACTCCTCACGGATTTTCCCATTTCGCCTAACGACTCCTCCATTTGAAGCAACATGGCTTTCGCAACAGTGTGAGTTTCGGACACCTCCGTTCTAGATCACCCGATGATCTAGCTCATCGACTGTGCGCTCACCCTTTCTTCTAAACGAGATAGGCGTGAGTCAAAATTGGAAATAAAGTCTTTGGACTTACCTCTCTGTTGAGGGGTTGGGGTTGGGGTCGACTCTCTCCGAGCGACCACGTTCTTCGGAAGCCTCCATCTCAGCCGTCCTGGATCCCTTTGTTGAAGCGACAGTGTCTTTCACCATTGAATAAAAACCGAGGTTATGCTAACCGAGGCTCTGATACCACTTGTCACGCACTTACTTCTTTGCTAAGTTCGTGCGGCCTTAACCCTTCGGAAATGGTTAAGCAGCCTAACGCTCACACAACTAACAAGCTCAAAGTATAAAGTTTAGAGAGAGAAGCTTAGAGAAAATATAAACTCTGTATTGAAAGGATTCAAGTTATGAAATGTACAAGGGAGGGGTGGCCTATTTATAGGCTAAACCTCCTCAAATAAATGTCTAGATACATTGAACACTAGTCTTAAGTTATTAACTCATAGTAAACACTAGGTGGCACCCCTAGATGGCAAACTTAGGTGGTGGATAAGCATTATCCTTTAAGTTTCTTTGCCACTAAGTTTACTTAACTCCGAAGTATACTTAGCCACTAAGCAAAGTGCAACCCACTTGAGTCAACAAGCAGGGGTCGTGACATTAAGCCTTCGTGTCCACTTTGAATTAGACAAAAATTCATTTTTATCTAAATTCTTTCCTATGAATTCATATAGCATTTCCAGTTAAAGGTATAATATATTCAACTTCTGCATACAAAGTCAGTTACAAATTAACTATTTATATTTTCGCGTAATGAATTGATTGATACAGTTGCAGAATGATCATTTGACATGTAATAAAAGATATACTAACCTCTCGCCGCGAGAAAAACAAGTCCTGTCTCATCACTGAAATCGATTCCGGGATTGTACCTCTGAAGTAACTCGGTCGGTACAGGCGCCGCCGCCGCAATGAAGGACAGATTCTCGCCGGGACGAAGAGGGTACGTCGTGAACAACCCGTAATCTTTGGACACGCTTCTGTCACCGCAGGAGCAATTAACGGTGACATGATGAGAGCACCGTCCGGTATTCTAGTTGGATCAAAATGTTGGACCCTGTGCACCCAATCCTCGGTGGTGAGATTAGCAAAAGGAAGACTGGCAACTTTATCATAAGTATCACCGAACACAGTTTCGTAAGTGAAAGTGTGGCCCAAGAAGTCACCGTTTAAGCAATCACACGAAAAGGGCACGTTGATTCTCTCACCAGCAGGAATACTATCTTGGTTCGGAACCTGAGGATTGTACTGAAGAATTTCAGAGATTTGTTTCCCAAAAATGGTGCTAATATACGTGAGGTTTGAGCCTTCCCATACGTAATATGAAGCTAGAGCAAGACGACAACCGGTTTTGCACTTGGCTTGGGCTTCCAGAACTCCAACAGAAAGGAGAAGAAGAAGAAGAAGATGAAAGGTTAAGAAAATGAGTGGAGGAATTCTAGTTGTGTTAGAGAAAATGGACATTTTTTTGGGGGGAGTTTTGTGAAGTTCTGGTATCTTGTCTGAGAGATCATGTGAATGTGAAAATGGTTTTTGGTGTTTGGTGTTTGTAATGTAGCTAAATCTCTTTGATGGGTTGATAAAACTTAGACATCTATTGCTACTTTTGTCATTATGTTACGTCTTTGATTCGTAGATTATTTTGTTTTTTGTGTCTAAATTTGAACCAACCCACCTTACCATTGCATACTCTCGATGAAGAGGAGAAGAGTATCAAAATAGTCGGCTGTTCAAACCTAATCCACACGCCGGTCTAATTTGAGGAGGCCTATGACTGTCATTTCATGCGTTGAATTCTTTAAATTTCAGAATTATTTCAGAGGTTCATGCTAGAATGAACGATGTTTGTGGACAGCATCGCTCCCGTATACTAGGGTATATGAGGGTTTACAGACTTGTTGATTAGCCTAAATGCAATTGAAATTTTGTCTGGAAGTGAAGCTAGAATATGCACGGTCTTAGGTTTACTTCACCATCTGAGCATCTACTATTTAGGTAGGGGTCGTGGTAGAGGGTTACTGCATTAATCTATCCTTAAGATTAGTCGACTTATGTGTAAACTGGACCGAAAATCTTAGTTGCAAAAAAAAAAAAAAAAAAATGTAGTTATAATATTAATTTTCTTAGTTTAGTTATGCGGATTAGGGGTGATTGGTTCCGGGTACCCTGCATTTTTTGAGGGAATCAGAACCGAAACTGATCGGTTCTTAAGATTTGGAGCCGGAACCTTCCGGTTCCTAGAAACCTAGAACCGAAAACTGAAACATAGGTTTCAGTTTCGGTTCCGGTTCCGATTTTGGGTACCTAAGTAAATTTTAATTATCCCCTACTTTTTGAAAAATGTCAAATACACCCTCAAAAAATTGCAAATACGCCCCCAACAGTTTACCAAAATTTATAATTTAGTCTTGATTCCTACCTAAGTATCTGGACCTCAGTTCTGGTTCCAGTCCCGATTTTGGTTCCCGATTCCAACATTACAGGAATCAAAATCGAACCCGGGAATTCCCAATTCCAATTTTCTAGAATCGAAACCGAATCCGAATGGGACCGGTTCCAATTCCTACCTGGAATTGACGGGTGCATACCCACTAGTTCTAGTTCTACCTTTTATCCATGCTCACCCCTACGGTTATGCTCTAAAGACTAACGAAATCTAAAAGTTTTGGGGGTATTTCTTGGCATATTTTACACTATAATAAATACAAATTTATCAGGTTATGTAACTTGTAAGTAATTGACAAGATCTGCTAAAAAATGTGGTGGAACCCATGGAGAGATATGTGCTTATACACTTCACAAGTGGACACCCAGATATTTTGTATGTAGAACTTGGGATATTTTTGTTTGAAACTTAAGGCTTTTTGGTTGAGATAGTTTCTCAGATTCACAGACACAAAGGAGTTCTGTTGAATTCTAATCTATAGTACTTTCTCTGTTACAAATCAATGGAAGCCTATGCTGTTCTCCCACTAGCTCTTCTTTCTATTTTCCCTCCAAAACTCAATAGAAACAAAGCTTTCCCTTCCTCTCCATCCAATTTCAAGCAAAGGAATTCTAATTCCACTCGTTTGCACTGCCAAAAGATGTATGTCCCCGGTGGGTATTAATTAATTCCTCCCTCGCTCTGAATATTTATACATTTAGTTATTATTCTCCGTTAACAGTGAGTTTGTTGGATGCAGGATTTGGAGAAGCATCACCAGAAGCCAAGGCAGCCAAAAATCTCCACAATTTCTTCAATTATATTGCAGTTAGGATTGTCACTGCCCAGCTTCAGGTTCCTCTTCATCTGTTTCTTACTTTCTTTCTTTTACACTTCCTTTGTTAAGTTATGATTTGGAAAATATTTTAATGGTTATTATTTCCCAGAACAGAGCTATAACCCTGAGGCATATAAAGAATTAATGGAGTTTCTGGGTAGACACTCTCTGAATGATGGAGATAAATTCATCTCTGAATTGATGCGCGAATCTTCAAGGCATAAGAGTTTAGGTATGTTGATGATCATAAATTTCTTTTCTAATTAACTCACATTGGTTTCTTATTTTCTAAGTTCACTAGGCAACCGAAACCTCAAACAATTGAGCAATATAAACTTAAAGAGTTTTTTTTGTCTCACATCGCAAATCTAGTAGACTGTGGTATATATATATATATATGATTGGACTCCCTTTTCTTTGAGCTAGCTTTTGGAATGAGTTTGAGCACTTAATTCTTGTATGTTTATCACATACGACTAACATGTGGTTAAATTTTGTACTATCGTGTGGGGTTCATGTAAGCTCTTCGCATCTTAGAGGTCCGTCTATATTGTAAACATGATTTTGAGTGGGATAATTTGAAGCGATTAGCCATTAAGGTAATGATTTTTCTTTCTTTCTTTCTTCTCTGTTAAGCGTTCGATGTTTTATTTCATTCTTGTGTCGTATATTGTGGCTGGCTTTTTCCAGATGGTCGATGAATCTAACACAAGAATTATGAGAGATTATGTCTTGGAAACTAGTCATGTAGAAAGTGGGAAGTGATCAAAATCGGCAATCTCGACATTGCAGACTAAGCTGCTCAGTTCTGCAATACAATTACATAAGCTGATAAGCAGTGAAACATAACTTCTGGTGTTCTACATATACATTTCTATTCTATATACCCATGCAGTAAATAAATATAAGCCGAAAATTATTCTTCTAAAACGAGGTTTATCTGGTTGTTAGGAACTGATTTCAGGTTTCTTTCAGTGATTTTGCTTCGCTTGGCTTTGAAAACTTGCCAATACAATCTAGAAAATCCAGTATACCTACACAATCTAACAATATTTTGCCATTCATGTGCAAGTTGTATATTATAGACGATTAGTTGAAGAGTACTGAGTCATGGTAGAATTTATTAGTTTTTTTCAGCATTTAAGGTGCGAAAAAATCATCTTATAAGATAAACATATACATAAGCGAAACCGTCCCACAAATGTCTTCCATCAAATCCTGGTCCATATAAGCCATGTCCTCAGCAAATGAGATCATATGCTAAATCCGTTTGCTTCTATATGCATTGTCCCATACACCTGTTGTTGTGAAGGGAAATAAAATTTTCACGGCATGTTTTGTTATCGTCCTCAATCTGTTTTTGTTTCTCGTTCCTTCGACAGCTGCAAATATAGCAAATCAGGGATATCAAACAGAAAGTTGGACATTGTTTTCTTTCATTCACAAAAAATACCTCAACATAGCGAGGACATCATCGATGCATGGATATTCCCAGTGCTGAAATATGATTGAGCATATTCTTCAATATGCCCTAGCCTGCAATTCATCATTAATATGAATGATTGTGGCATAATCAAAAGGTGAAGTTAGTGTTAGAAGAAAATTACCTGTACACATAGTTCACCATGATACCAGCACTTTGATTGAGGCCTTTTTCTGATCGATCTGCCATCCAATTTATCCTCTCAATCATCTACAACACAAAGGGAAGGAAAAGAAAGGTTTCAAATTATCATAATGGAATTTTTAACTCTGACAACATTTTCTAGGTGTCCACCTATGTGATCTATAAAAACAAACTATTTGGTCATGATTAAGAACTGTCATCAATTAACTATAGGGAACGATCCACCAACTCTACGTTACAACATATAAGCTACATCCCAAAAATGCTATTTTCAAGAAGTGCGCACTTAATAACTCTATAAAGTAAGTTTGTATGACATACCGCTCCATTTTGCAAGTGAAAATTTGCAACAGAGTCTAGAGCCTTTCCTCTCTTTTTCTCTTGTAGAAGGTACCTAATTCAAAGAACCCAACATCATTGAATTCTACTTTCGTTCAAAGACATAAAATCAAGCTTTTGAGCAACTGAACAGAACTAATTTATGTGAGGTCATACTTATACAACTCAGTTTCCACATTTTGAGTTTCTAACTAACACAAAAGGATTCAATCAACTTATGAATTTAATTCAATAAAGATACATCTATGTATTTGCTAATTATAATTATGATTAATTTTCTCAAAAAAGCTTGATTGATATAATAATTGACTCGTGAACACTACTCATCAACTAGCATTATTTTATGATATTGCACTTGGCACATAGTCGTAAGAGAGGGGCTTTTAGAACTGAAAGCAATTTGTCTGAATTGCTCCACTATGGTTTCTTGATATCAGCAAGTTTAACATTACTTCTGTGCCATTTCTTCCAGCAACAGACTCCCTGCAACTGCAAATGTTATCATGGATGCTAGAACAATCTTTTTTTTTTTTTTTTTTTTTTTCCTTGTAATACAAAATGGCAAAATATTGTAGTGAATAATGGAAGAAGAGAAATATATTCTAGTGGTGAGCAATCTTCTTTCATAATTTAATTAAATCTTAAGGGTATGAAACAGATGAACAGGCAACCAAACTTGCACTTCCATAATGTGCCAAAAGTATCTTCGTATTAATTGGTCCAAGATGGTTAAGGAAAAGTAGTGTATACTAAGAGTCACACGTTTTGTGAAGATGAAAAGTTTTCATCAAGACAGGTTAGGTACTTCTGATCATCAACTGGAATGCAATCTTAATCTTTAACAAAAAGCTCAATCTGAATCTGTATCTAATTCAGCATTTTTGAAGAAAGAACCTTAGATAATTTCACAATATCTGAGTATCAGGACAACAAATTGTTGATGAAGATGAAGTGCTTACTTGGGTGCCTGACACAATCTAACAATATTTTGCCATTCAATGTGCAAGTTGTATATTATAGACGATTAGTTGAAGAGTACAATGAGTCATGGTAGAATTTATTAGTTTTTTTTCAGCATTTCAAGGTGCGAAAAAATCATCTTATGAAGATAAACATATACATAAGCGAAAGCCGTACCACAAATGTCTTCCATCAAATCCTGGTCCATATAAGCCATGTCCTCTAGCAAATGAGATCATATGCTAAATCACGTTTGCTTCTATATGCATTGTCCCATACACCTGTTGTTGATGAAGTGGAAATAAAATTTTCACGGCATGTTTTGTTATCGTCCTCAATCTGTTTTTGCTTCTCGTTCCTTCGACAGCTGCAAATGATAGCAAATCAGGGATATCAAAACAGAAAGTTGGACATTGTTTTATTTCATTCACAAAAAATACCTCAACGTAGCGACGGACATCATCGGATGCATGGATATTCCCAGTGCTGAAATATGATTGAGCATATTCTTCAATATGCCCTAGCCTGCAATTCATCATTTACTATGAATGATTGTGGCATAATCAAAAGGTAGAAGTTAGTGTTAGAAGAAAATTACCTGTACACATAGTTCACCATGATACCAGCACTTTGATTGAGGCCTTTTTCTGATCGATCTGCCATCCAATTTATCCTCTCAATCATCTACAACACAATGGTATTTAAATTAAAGGTTTCAAATTATCATAATGGAATTCTTAACTCTGACTACATTTTCTAGGTGTCCACCTATGTGATCTATAAAAACAAACTATTTGGTCATGGTTAAGAACTGTCATCAATTAACTATAGGGAACGATCCACCAACTCTACATTACAACATATAAGCTACATCCGAAAAATGCTATTTTCAAGAAGTATACACTTAATAACTCTATAAAGTAAGTTTGTATGACATACCGCTCCATTTTGCAAGTGAAAATTTGCAACAGAGTCTAGAGCCTTTCCTCTCTTTTTCTCTTGTAGAAGGTACCTAATTCAAAGAACCCAACATCGTTGAATTCTACTTTCGTTCAAATACATAAATTCAAGCTTTTGAGCAACTGAACAGAACTAATTTATGTAAGGTCATACTTATACAACTCAGTTTCCACATTTTGAGTTAACTAACACAAAAAGATTGAATATTTCCAGACAACAGATTGAAAATTTCCAATACAAAAGAAACTAGACTATACAGTTACATCTCACCGTTCACCATCATTCAATTTCTAGTGATATTTTTTGTCATGGATAGCATTTATAATCAACTTATGAATTTAATTCAATAAAGATTCATTGATTGTATTTGCTAATTATAATTATGATTAATTTTCTCAAAAAAGCTTGATTGATATTATAATTGACTCATGAACACTACTCATCAACTAGCATTATTTAATGATATTGCACCTGGCACATAGTCGTAAGAGAGGGGCTTTGAGAACTGAAAGCAATTTGTCTGAATTGCTCCACTCATGGTTTCTTGATGTCAGCAAGTTTAACATTACTTCTGTGCCATTTCTTCCAGCAACAGACTCCCTGCAACTGCAAATTTTATGATGGACGTTAGAGCAATTTTTTTTCCCTTGTAATACAAAATGGCAAAATATTGTAGTGAATAATGGAAGAAGAGATATATATACTAGTGGCGAGCAATCTTGCTTCATAATTTAATTAATCTTAAGAGTATGAGACAGATGAACAGGCAACCAAACTTACACTTCCATAATGTGCCAAAAGTACCTTCGTATTAATTGGTCCAAGATAGTCAAGGAAAAGTATGAGCTACGAGGCACACGATTTGTGAAGATGAAAAGTTTCATCAAGAAAGGTTAGGTACTTCTGATCATCAACTGGAATGCAATCTTAATCTTAACACAAAGCTGAATCTGAATCTGTATCTAATTCAGCATTTTTGAAGAAAAAACCTTAGATAATTTCACAATATCTGAGTATCAGGACAACAGATTGTTGATGAAGATGAAGTACAAAGCTTACTTGGACAAATCCACTAGTGCTTTTTCTCTTCTGGTTCAAGTAAATATACAGAAAAGTAGATGATCCACCGTCTGATGATTGTGATATGTCTTCCACTTCAGCAAGCTTCGATTGAGATGCCAACTTTGAATAAGCCACTGAAACCCTGGGACTAGGCTACGCGTTGCAAGTCTTTACATAAAAAGGAAATTTAAAAAGTAGTCAGTCAGTATCAACTGAAGTAAAAGCTATGTGAACCAGTCTTGAATATCACTACTTTAAAAGTCCTGTCTCTTCAAGAACATTATGGATTAAATAACAGAAGTACTTATAGAAATCTGTGGCATACCTCTGTTCACCAGGGTGATCACACGTTTAATTAGAAACTTTCCAAGATTGATCCCTGCCAAGCCAGGCTGCAAATTACAAATGTATGCAATCGTGTTTAACTACAGATCACATTGAAAACACTAATTTCCACATTTCCTATAAAAAAATTCAAAAATTTCAGATTCTGATTTCTCATGCTTATGTTCTGACATCGTACAGAAAAGGTAACGACCATGAAAGGAACCCTTCCCTTGGGGCATATCACAACGGAAAAAGAAAGTTAGACATGTGAACGGCATATACAATGACTTCAGTTACAATCAACTCAGGAATAGCCTCGAAAGAATAAGTGCACACTAGCAAGATCAACAGATCTAAATTGATAAAGATATCGTATTAAGCAAAAAGATAATGTTCTAATCACAAAATGATAAACATCTGTAATCCCTGTAAAACTTTAGCTGAGTTTTCTCAATATATCTAATTGTTTTTTTATATACTTCTTTTCCTTTTACGAATAAAAGAAGTAACTGAATTTACCTGAGTTGAAGATATAGAGTAAAATAATGCACATGTTGCCTCACATTCAGGTATAGGAGGATCATTCCATAAAACTTCTTACCATTATAAGAAAAAATGTTAGCAATACATAAAAAATAAAGGGGGATTCTATGAAAGGGTGAAAGAAAAGTAACCTGAATTGTTTGAGCCACATTCTTCAACAGTGCAACTTCAATAAAAATGAGAGGTTCCCCTGGAATAATTATAATTAAAAATAATCGGATTACACCCAATAGAAAGACCAGGATGATTAAATTAAAAACATTCAAATGGTAAGGATCCATGTAGTAACATGATCAACAACTTTTTTCTACTTCAAAGCAACATGGAAGTTAAGGTACTTAGATTCTCAAGTTATCCAGATGAATGTAAGTTCACATCAGAAACATTGTCTAGATGCAAAAAAATTTGTCAACAGAATGCCATCCCTCGCACAATTCATGATTGATTCTGCTAATACTAATTTCTGTCAAATTTAATGATTGTGCTATTGACTCAAGATCTCTGCATTGAATATACTGACAAGTTCAACATTGCATCAGTAAAATTTAGCATCAATGTATGCAATTCTAATAGGAAAACTAATTTATCATCCAAAAGCCTCTAGCAAACCATTTAATATGATATGGATGCAAGATACTAATATACTCTTCATATTTATAAAAACTAACCAAATGAAAACAAGCATTCACTGTTGTTAATTACTAGATATACACAAACAGTGAAAGGAATAGCTTACCAGGTATTGCTGGATGTAAATACCCAAAACACCGGCGACCAACCCCCAGCCTTCTCTTTAAATCTATAAGGTTGCTGATTGGATGCACAGCCTATATAAAAAACATATCTTTAAAAATACATACCCCGCATTGCGAAGGAAACCTATTAACATACCAAGACAAGGAATAGAAGCATGCCTCATAAGCCACAATTTTCTCCAGCAAAGAAGCTGGGTCATCCCAAGTAATCTGGTGAAGCTCTAAAGAGCAGGACTAAGCCAAGTACTGAGTTTTTCCTTTAGATAGGAATCCAATGCTCTCAAGGAAGCAATATTCTCCTCTCTGAATGGTTGCAAGATAACCAATTCAAGAAATTTATTCCCTTTGGCGAGTTCATATCATTGATAACATCAACAACACTAAATGATACAAGAGTAAAATGAATCACACCGTAAGGACCATAACCTTACGTGAGAATATATAAAATATCAGCTCGAAGACTGGACAAAAACTTCAACCCTCCAGGATGCATGTTAAGCCGCTCAAAAAGAGATTCATACATCGGCTTAAGCGCATGTCTCAAATTCCGCTCAACACGGTAAAAAGCAGCGGGATAACCACCCGCCTCTTCAGCACCAGCCAACTGCGCTTCCTCGCCTGACACTAGAAAGCTTCTAAAACACTCAATCAATATCACTAAACTTGAAATTTCAAATCAACAAACAAATGAATAAGCAACAACAATAAGCACAAAAGTCAACTCCAAGATATTGCTTTATCAATTCACGAACTTGTGTTCTATTTAGATCAAACTCTTTAGCTAATACAAGCAATAATGTCCGCCGATTTTCATAAGAAAGGCTATAATAACCCTGCATTACATTACAAATTAATCAAAAATACTAACAATATAGTTCATATATGCCTTCTAAAATAATCACTTAACAGTTTTATTTCACCTCTGAAAAATCATTAAGCACGGTATCTAAAACTTCAGTTTTATTCATTGATATCGCCAACCGCATTGATTCTCGTACATGCTCAAATTCTCTACCAAGAATGATAATAACAAAACATTCAATAATTATATTAATTGAAAATTGAAAATTTGAATACTATGTAATAACATACTTCTGCGGCTTGTTCTCATTCTCCAGAGCATGTTGCGCAGCACGTGAACCAGAGGATTGCATTAGATTCACCTCGTTCTATTTTGAAATTAATTTAAAAATCATAAGATAGTTTTAGAGCCAAAAATTGTTTGAATTTTGGAACTAAGGTAGAGTACTTACAGGTAAAGAAGAGAGAGCGAGTTTTGTTGAGTTGTTTGGTCTCATTCTGGCGCGCAACAGAATTGCTAAACTCTTCTTGTTCATAGTTGTTTACAACTCAAAAGCTTCATCGTTTTTCATAATAAAGTTAAAATTCGTACGTTGAGCCCTCAATTTGTCTGCTAATACATCTTTTTCCACGAGCTAAATGGGGTTTTCTCGGCGAGAGCGACTGAGAGACTCAGAGAGTCGGAAAAAGAAACAGAGCGTGTCCGAGTGAGTGATCCAGTACGCCCGAGTTCTTCGTATCCTCAAAACGCACCGTTTAGCGCCTTTTCACCCCCCCCAAAAAAAAAAAGCCGGAATAACTCTTTAGATACTAATGACTGCAAACAAGTACACATAGATTACGTAATTATATCATCGATTCATGTGATAAAAACTAATAAATCCTGATATCTTAATTATAGTTTATTATTTTTTTAATAATTACTAAATTTATAATTATGGGTGCGCGGGTCGGATTCCCATGGAACTAGAACCAGACTCAAACCCAACGATTCTTAGGATTTAGGAATCGGACCCGGTTAGTGCTAATTCCTAAATGCCTAGAATTGAACCTTTACGAGTTTGGGTACTTGACACTGTTTATAAAAATTACAATACACCCCTTTTGTTTTCAAAATAACAAAAATGTCTTATAAAAAATACAATACACCCCCAATTATTTACATGATTACAAATACAATTCGACTACCCGAACCTCAGTTCCAAGTCTAGACCCACATAATATTGATTCCACCAAATTTAAAACCGAAACCGACATATCGTGTACACAATAGTTTCGATTCTACCCTAAAAATTAGGACACTATTTATAATAATTTAAGAAAGTATTTATTTATTATAACGGGTTTTTATGAGTTTCATAAATCTAGGTACACGGTATAAAATTAATTTTTTTATAAATTGTCAAAACTTAACTATTAAAATTTGATTTTACATGATAAATGGAAAATCCCTTTTATAAAAGCTTAACTTTTGACTTAATTAAAAGTTATGAATTTAATTATTTTTAATCTTTTTGACTCAACTAGCCGTTGTATGATTAATTATATGTTCAACACTTTTTCTAAAGTTATTATAAATTTTAGGCACATATTATTTTAAAATCACATTTTTTTTTCATTAAATGTTAATTAATGATGCTTTAATTAATTATAGTAAGAAGCAAAAGCTTAGACACTAAAGAGACGATAAAATAACGTTTGGACAAAAATTGCGTGTATGATATTTAAGAAGCATTTAAAATTGGGCCAGTTTGTCCCAGATTTATGAAAGTTAGAGATTCACGCCTGGCCCATTAATGGGCCTCGTACCACCATTCTTAATTGCAAATCCCACATTTTCCTTGCAACAAAATAATTACACGAAAATCGCTTTTTGTTGAAATAGGTTTTTTTTTATTTTTTTTGATAATCGGTTGTTCGGGGTAGATTACATGTACCTCAACTAATACTCGGTTTTTTAAGTTCATTGAAGATCCTACATGCTCAATGAGAGTAGTAAGTCATAAATGTAGTAGATAATCACTTTGCAATATTCGAACACAAGACATTTGAGTAACCTACTCAAATGACTAAGGGTGCGTTTGGTTCAATATTTCTACTCATATTTCCAATTCTATTCTCCAAATATTGTTTGGCACATTATTTGAGAAATATTATTATATTTTTTTAATTACTTTTAGGTCCTTTAAGTTTATTAATTTCATTAAATACCCCCAGAAATTTTTTTAAAAATTAACAAAAACACCCCCATCGACCCATACTTGCCAGATTTCGACAATCACTGTCGATGGTAACCGGAATCTGTCACAACGGCCTACACCACGACCGAAACTGGCCGGTAATTCACTGATCTGACGGCCAAAGAAATGGTCGTCGTTGATTGACAACGACAGCCATTTGCGGCCATCAACAGATACATATGGCAGTAGATCTGGCCTTTTTTGACGAGATCCGTGGTGTATTTGATCGGAAAAGGCCATATTGACGTCATACCCGCAAGATCCGACCGGTATGTGTTGTTACGCAATTTTCTGGCCAGATTCCGGCGGTGGTGGCTGAAATCTGGCATTGCGGGTGGTGGGGGTGTTTTTTTCATTTTACAAAAATTTTATATATTAGGGTGTTTAGTTAAATTAGCAAACCTAAGGGGTTTTTTTATTATAAATTTTTAACTTTTACCTCGTAATACTCCCCTATTCAACTACCCAATATTATTCCCAAAATTATATCCAAAATAATAAAACAACCGGACCCTAAAATCTTGTCATCCAATCACAAGACAAGCGGTTGAAATAGGTTTTTTTTTAGTGAGTATCCGCTAATTTTAGAAATACAGTACTCATTTTTTTACAAAAACAAAGTTGAAATATTTACAAAAATAGTTTTTGAATTAAACGTTAAGATTATGATTTTATGGCGCCAAATCCTCAAGCTGTTGTAGATTGTCGAATCCAAAATAAGAGTCGAGAAATACGTTTTCATTGGCAAGACCTTTCTCCAACAGAGGCAACTTAAGAAGACTTTGAGTTGATGAAGCTTTAGTATCTACACTTGAGGTCAAGGGAGCACTTTAAGAAGGGCAAATTATTACCAACTTGTTGCTAGAACTGTGATAATGCCCGACTTTTCTACTAATTTTTATGTTTAGTCGTAAAAAAACAAAGGATATAGAAGTCATTTCACATAAATCTTACAATAATATTTTGCTTATAATTGAGTTATACAAATAGTCAAAATGGTACAAAATTTATTTAAAATGACTATGTTAGACTTTTTGCTTTATGGTCCTACACTTTTAATATAATTACATTATGGTCATACACTTTTATGCTGATGTGGACTGATGTGGTCACATGGTTGTGTCTCTTCTCTTGGGCAGTTGTATTTGATGGAAAGACAACTGCGTATTAAAGAGAGACTTTACAGGTCCCCATTAGACACAATTTTTATTTTTAGATTCAAAACCATCACTCTAAAATTGCAGTCAGTGGAAGATCTTGTATTTTGAAGGAGCAAGAAGATTAAACAACAATTGCTATGGCTAAAGGTTTGTCATTTCCTTCCGCATATATTCCATGGAGATTTTAGGTTGAAATTGATTATATTATCAACTTTTATATGAATATTGAAATATGAATGTATTTTACATTTGGTATCAGAGCGTTGTTTGAATCTCTACCTAGCATGAAAATGTTTGTTGCAAATCTAGAAAATATTGCATAAAATTTGGGATTTTTCAATTAAAACCCGTACTGTAAACCAAGCATAACTTTTATTATAAATAGAATTTGTCTTCGATTTTGATGTCATTGGAATCCTTGTTGAAAAAGCTTTCTAACGGTATATTATTTGTCAAAAACGGAGTTCTGGTTGCAAAGTTATGCTAGCTTAAAATTTTGGTTATAAATTATCGTTTGGGTGTTTTTGGAAGCCATTTATGGCACCAATTTAGGAAGAAATTGTCATTTGAGTTGTCATCGATATAGGTTATATGTCCATATTCAAGTTTCCCCTTTAAAATGCCGGAAAAATGGCTGTAAATGGGCTGTTAAAATCTGCAAAAAAACTGGGTAAAAAGTTGCAGAAACGGGTCAAGAAGAACCGACCCAATAGGATAAAAGGGTCAAATTGACCCTATCAAAGTCAACTATCAAGACGGGTCAAACAACCCAGTCAACCCAACCCAAAACCTGACAGGTCAACCTGACCCGGTCAACAGGTCAGACCGGTCAACGAGAGTAGTAAGTCATAAATGTAGTGGATAATCACTTTGTGAGACTCGAACACAAGACATTTGAGTAACCTACCCAAATTATTGAAGTCTTGTCATCCAATCACAAGACAAGCAGTTGAAATAAGTTTTTTTTTAGTGAGTATTCGCTAATTTTAGAAATACAATACTCATTTTTTTACAAAAACAGAGTTGAAATATTTACAAAAATAGTTTTTGAATTAAACGTTAAGATTATGATTTTATGGTGCCAAATCCTCAAGCTGCTGTAGATTGTCGAATCCAAAATAAGAGTCGAGAAATACGTTTTCATTGGCAAGACCTTTCTCCAACAGAGACAACTTAAGAAGACTTTGAGTTGATGAAGCTTTAGTATCTACACTTAAGGTCAAGGGAGCACTTTAAGAAGGGCAAATTATTACCAACTTGTTGCTAGAACTGTGATAATGCCTGATTTTTCTACTAATTTTTATGTTTAGTTGTTCTTGAACAAAAAATAAAGGATATAGTAGTCATTTCACATAAATCTTACAATAAAATTTTGCTTATAATTGAGTTATACAAACAGACAAAAATGGTAAAAAATTTATTTAAAATACTACTCTATGCTTTATTTTTTGTCTGTTTGTATAATTTAGTTGTGAGTATAATATTACTTTAAATTTTATATAATTTTTGTCTGATCATATAAGTCAAACTCAGTTATAAGCAAGTTATTAGAATGTTGAAAAAAGTTCAAAAAGGCATTTGAGGAATTATTTGAAAATGCTCATTGTTTTGAAAAATTGGACCTTAGCCCCCAATTTTCACGAGCCGTCCAATTATTCTATTAGAAACCAGAATAAAGTAGGGCAATTAAGTAATTGCAACATTCTAACATAAATTATCTAGAATATAATAATATTTTAATAAAAAATTCCCCTAGGTTAAAAGGTTTTATTAAAGAACGATACTTGTTTTACAAAGACATATACAAAAGGGACATACAAAGACAATCCCCAATAATCCCCATCCTTGATTTTCATGATTTCTCTCCTTCTGTTTTTCCATTTTTTCTTTGTTTTTTTCTTTTGGATGATGTCACTTTATAGCTCTCTTTGTATGGGTCTTTGTAAGTATAATATTTTTCTTTATTAAACACCCAAAGACCCTTTATAAGCCACAACCGGGACATTGCAGCAGATGAAGCGTTACACAGGAAAGTTGGCTTGCTGGAGTAAGTTCTTTGGGCTTGGACGTCAGAAAATCGTCGATGACATTTGATATTCATTGGTGTTGTGATTTGGCTGTGATGCAAAAAAACAAAGGAGGCAATTGTAACCATAACCATGAATTTGAAAAAAAATTCAGTCTTTGTCTGCCATTGTTGATAAGTGATGATATTTCGCACTTGTCGTTTGTAAAATATCCAAGGGTGCATTTGGTTTAGTATTTTGGATAGGATTTTAGGGATAGTATTGGGTTATTGGATAGGGGAGTAT